TATTGCATTTTAGGTTTTGGGGTACATGTGAAGAACATGCAAGATTGTTGCATAGGTACACACGTGGCAGTGTGATTTGCTGCCCTCCTCCCCATCACCTACATCTGGCATCTCTCCCCTTGCTATCTCTCCCCAGCTCCCAACCCCCCACTGTCCCTCCCCTATTTCCCCCCAACTGACCCCAGTGTGTAGTGCTCCCCTCCCTGTATCCATGCGTTCTCATTGATGAACATATTTTAATTTGATAATCTTAAGAAAATGAAAATAAACAATATTCTTTAAAATGGATGAAGAATTTAAGATTATGTAGGTAAAAATAATTTCTGGCTCAGGTCCTGCTTGCCTGTGGGGTGGGGAGGGAGCCAGAGGCACAGGCCTGACCCGGGTGTGAGAAGACAGAGGGTGATGTGAAGAGAAAGTCACCTGCCCCTCACAATACTCCCTCAGCCCAGAAACTCTTACCTGACACCCAGGCCTAAAATTCCTCAGTGCCCATCTGCCAGTTCTGTACTCTGGACAATTCTTTATAACTCACTGCCCTTACCACCTTCCCACAGGGACTTCCTGGGGACGGAGTCTAGTTATAAGGGTTGACAATGCCATGTGAAGCTTATCTTCCCTGCCTTTACTTCCTAAGCTCAGTCTTCAGTGAGAGTTAACAGAAGAATTTCAGGCCATCAGATGGGCACTATACCCTATAGAACAGTTTCTCAACCTCGGCACCATTGATATGCTGGGACCAAGTAATTATTTGTTGTAAGGGGATGTCCTGTGATTGTAGGATGTTCAGCAGCATCCCTAGCTGCCACCCATCACCCACCGCACAACCTCCCAGCCAAAACCCACCACCCACACACAGCCTCCCCACCCACCACCCACACACAGCCTCCCCACCCGCCATCCACCACCCACACACAGCCTCCCCACCCGCCATCCACCCCACACACGGCCTCCCAGCTGCCACCCACCACCCACTGCTTCTTGTTGGTTCGTTTAGGGGACATGAATGGTCAGGAAAACACTATGAAATCTCTTGGAATCCCCTTCAGAAAATGGAGGAGGCTGGTTCTTGTGTGCTTTAGAAGAATTCGGATTCAGCCGGAGAGGCGCTCCCTGGAGTCAGGGCTGTGCTGTGAGCCACACATGCAGACTTCTTTTTGTTTGTTTGTTTTGAGACAAAGTCTTGCTCTGTCACCCAGGCTGGAGTGCAGTGACAAAATCTCAGCTTACTGCAAACTCTGCCTCCCGGGTTCAAGCCATTCTTCTGCTTCAGCCCCATGAGTAGCTGGGATTACAGGGTGAGCCACCATGCCTGGCTAATTTTTGTATTTTTAGTAGAGATGGGGTTTTACCATGTTGACCTTGAACTCCTGACTTGAACTCCTCAAGTGAACCACCACCTCGGCCTCCAAAGTGCTGGGGTTGCAGGTGCGTGCCACCATGCCTGGCTAATTTTTGTCTTTTTAGTAGAGATGGAGTTTTGCCATGTGGCCCAGGCTGGTCTTGAACTCCTGACCTCAAGTGATCTGCCCAATTCGGCCTCCCAAAGTGCTGGGACTACAGGCATGAGCCACCACACCTGGCCTATTTTGCTGTAATTATTTATTTAATGTTTGTCTTCCTTGCCAGTCTATAAGCCCATATATAATTTTCACAGTGATATTCTGAGTGCGCCCAGTGGTTTCTGTCACATAGTAGGATGTTAGAAATATTAACTGCATACATAATACAGGAATGAAGTGCAGAGGCCGAAGGACCAGGCAGCTCTTCCAAGAGAACATAGATTTATTTGGAACCCAGCATTGCTCGACTGAGGGCACATTGGGATCACCCCCAGAGATGGCATGAGGGGGGTGTGAGAGTGGGGGTGGCCAAGGGAGGAACATGGCAGGGAGAGGACAGGGATTTCTTTTTATTTGACCTATAAAAAGCTGGCCTAATTGATAGTCTCCCCCAGCCCAAATGTCCTGCCACCCCAGTCATCCTACTAGCTGGGTGCTTCAACATCAGACCCACCTGGGGTGTGTATTAAGCATGTACACTCCTGGGCCCCACCTGGCATCATCAGAATATCTGGGAGTGGGACTTGGAGATCTACATCTTGACATGCTCGTGGGTGTTTTTTTTTTTTTTTTTTAAATTGATGTTGATGAGAGCTTTGGGACTCAGTCTAGCTTGTTCATATGTGTATCCCAAAAACCTAGCCCAGTGCAGGGCAGGAATGAGGAACTCGGTATTTCTTGATGGGTGAATAAATGAATGAATGAATTTCATAGTCACGGAAATGTGTATATTTGGTTTTTCCCAAGGCTAAAAAGAAGAGGGATGCTGCCTCCCTATGGTCTTCCATTGCTTTCTTCACCCTCTGGGGCCAATTTCCCCATTGGCAAGCAAGGGCATTTGGACTGAGTAAGCCACAGGGCTTCTTCCTGCCTTAATAATCATCAGCAGCAAGACTCTGTGCTTTCCGTTTCTTTTTGCCTGCCTTCCTGCAAGGGGGGAAAGAATCAAGATGAAAATCAACCACGACCCGGAGATTTGTTGTCAGTTTTAATAGGAGGAGTGGAGTCAAAGAGTTTAGGGAAATGTAGAAAAAGACCTTTTACTTTTTGCTGGAACATGATATGGTTTGTGCATGGCACATACATGTTAAAAAAAGAGAAGTTTCACATTTCACAAGCACATGACTGAACAGCATCTGGGCTGCATTACCCACTGTGCCTCAGCTGGAGGGCAGCTCTATCCTGGGACCAGCCTGAGGCACTTAGTGACCTACACAAAGAGGAAACCATGCAGATCACGGCTCTCTGATGCTGAAATTTCAGTTCAATGAGGTACACAAATGTGGTTCTGCGTTGGTTATCTGCATGACGGGCTAGGTTCAGGACCTGTTTGGGGCTTAATCACATCTTCCTCCTGTTCTGGGAAGAGGAAGCATCAGTCAGATGTAAGCAGAGCCTGGAGTATCTCTCTCTATTCTTCTGGACTTGTCCCAAACTCCTCTCTTTGGTGTTTTTCTGGGAGGTAGCAGAATGAGTGGCTGGTTCCTTCAGGGGAGGAGCAAGTATTAGAGACCCACTTTATAGACACAGGTGTGGAAAGTGGCAGAGAATACCTCCTCAGGGACAGCTGACCCAGAGTCTTTGAGGGAAAACATTGGGGTAGCAGGACGAAGGAGTTTTCTAGCTTGTGTCCCCTTGAAAGTGGGCAGAAGGAGATAGAGAGCAGAGAGGAAATCCTGTAGGACGTTTGTAGATGTGCGTTTGGTAGATATGTTTATATCAGTGACTGTGGCACACAGCGGGCAAAGGCTATGGGCATCAACACAGGGAGGAAGAACTACAGCTCACGGACTCTCCTGTTTCTTTCTTCTCTCAGGACCTGCGTAGAACAAGAACTTGAAGGGTCTGAGGTCCAGGATAAGAAAGTGGCCCAGAGCCAGCATCGAAGGAGAACTGCAAACTGCGCAGGACAGGACAAGGGTCAGGAGAGAATTTCAGGCCTGGGTTTCTGGGCAGGAGAGATACCTATATGTCTAAAGAGAAGAGAGGTTTGTACCCTGAGTCAGACGGCAGAAGAAAATGTTGTCTTTGTTAGGCCACAGACTGGCCCTGACCAAGGGCTTGGCATGTGTGTTAGGGCACTGTGGGATGTGGCCGCAGAGGGGAAGGCTGCGGAGGATGATGGCAGGGTATTAATTACAAAATTACATGCTGCTTTCCAGAGAGGTTCAAATATGTATGGGAAGTGGAAAGGGAAGGGGTGTTAGAAGGCAGTGCATGATGAAACAAACATAATCAACAGCTTGAACAAGGCATTTGGAGTTTCCTGGTTTCCTATGAGGTCCATCCACTGCCCTGAAAAGGGTGGACGTTTTACAAGGAGCCTAGGGCTCCCCCATTGCTTCTAAGCTAACCTCTTCAGCTGCAGCTGAGAGGTACATCTTGAAGTGTGTGCAGATATGCTGCTCTCCTCTTTATCATTTGCTCTTGAAGAGAGAATAAAACAGCCTCTTGGCCCTCAGAACTCCAAGTTTGCATGGGGCTGCCAAAGAAGATTCAGGATGAAAGAGAGGTGAATTGGCTACAAAGCTCTGTAAACCAGGCTCCTTGCTCAGCACTTGGGGAATGGAGGAGCCAAGTCTTAGTACATCCTCAGTGGGAAATTGGGGGTCTCTGGTTCCCCTGCATATAGCAATGTCTTCTGCAGCCTTTGGGATCCAATGGGCTTGACAACCAAGTTCAGCACTCAGTGGACATGTGACCAGATAGGAAACAACTCTTCACGCCCGGGCACAGATACAGAAGCCAGAGAGAAGGGACTGAAATGCGTCCTGCTGATCTTACTCTGGTCCTATCTCTTAACCCACTTCTGTGGATGGGGATTGGCATTTCCTTCCTTCCTTCCTTCCTT